TAGAAAATGCACTTAAGACAGTACAGTTCATGGTAAAACGTTACTGAATTCATGTATTTCACCAAGGATATCCGTCCATCACAGTTTCATCTACTGAGGTTCCCTACTTATTCGTCTTTGAGGCGAAAGCCATACTTTTATCGTGCCATCTTCTGTCAGACGCAATAAAGTTACTTCATCAAGATACAAGCACATGTATAAACGTCTGTCAAGATAAACCAAGAAAAGTTAAGATCCGCCTAGCGCTTAAGTCATAATAAAGTATTGGTTCACCTGCTGATTAATTACATCATTGATTTTTTTAAACTTCAATCAAAAATTCGTCGGTGCACCTACTGATTTTATCAATAAAAGAGAAAAAGTAATTAATAGATGTATATTTTTCTATAGGTATTATATCTTATATTTACTGAAAAATCGATGAAATTTTAGATACGCCAGTTCCATTGCTCAGTCTTACATTAAGACAATGCGATGCTCATAAAAAAAAATAATGCACGACCTTTTCTACAAGACACCCGTGATTGAGTTATTTTGATTTTTTTCCCGTATGTATGGAACGGTTATTTAGGGGTTTTCCCATTTAAAAACATGAACTAGCAATAACACATTTAATTTACTGTCTCCACAAAATCATCAAATTACATATTTATGGCATAAAACTGAGATCATGAACAACACCATAATATTTTTTTTAAATTACACTGCCTATAGCAAGTATTACACAAAAACTTTGAAAAAAAATTCTAGCACTTCCTTAAAATATTTGGTGTAAAGTTTCATTATGTATACGGTTTATATCAATGTTTACACCTCAAACATACCGTAATGTATACTAAGCTTTAAAATTTGATTTTACATATTGCATGTGTGGAAATAAATTATTCAAAAAATAAAAAGATTATACAACATCAACAATAAAAGATTATAACAAGAAATTACAACAACAGGACAAAAAACTTTAGATCTGAATTGTTTGTGCTTTACCTGATAATATATTGGAATAAAAAAAAAATAAATGAAATCACATAATATTGCACTGCAATTAGTGAAATGTATTATATGTACCAAATAATAGACATATATTATAACATGTTTCAGCTCATTAAATGAAAAATCTCATAATGGCAGTGTTTACAAAATTCCAATCCCCTGAATTAAAGAAAAATTAACAGATCTTCATTTATTTTTTCTTCAAAAATGTACTCACCCTCCCCCTTTTTTGGAATGATTACAGTTGTGAAAATGAGCATAAGCTGGCTGTGAATTGTGTAGTACAACACCCAAAGGAACAAGAATTTCTCAGTGAATCTTTCATAAAAGATTGATTTTATTAAATTAGTAGTACTAACATGAGCCTTACTTGATTAACATTACATGGAGTGTTTCCAAGCATGCCATTTTCTGATCATTTTTTAAAGCGTGGAAAAATATTGTGAAGACATCAATAGAAATCTAACTTAAGCTCCTTGAGAAAAAGTTGAAGTGTCATAAATACATTTTTTCAGTATGATCTTTTACCACCAAGGATAATAAGAAAATCTCTCTCTCTCAATTAGCTTTCACTTAAAATATAGTTATGTCATGTTTCATGTACATGTACTTCCAGGTTATATTTACCTTCATTGATACATTCTAATTACATATATATTCTAAATGACCTAAAAGGTAAGACTCAAATTTACAGGTAACTGATGGAAGATGCATAATAAAATAGAGAAAGCACAGTAATTGAAAAAAAAAAATTCTATTACGATTGTCTTTATAGTAAAGGAATGATGTCTTAAGTATAAGGGTTGGAATGTAATTAACATGCTAAATCAATGTAATAAACATACCGGTAACATAACTAACATAACTTTCACTGTCTCTGTTTCTCAGCATTTAATCATAACTAACTATCAGCTGTACCTATATATAAAAAGTTTAAATTCATTATCATATTTAAACCATTATAATAGCTCATCCAGACAAAACTTGTCTATCAATGCTGCAAGATTATAAAAAATATATAGATCATTTTCATAAATTCCTACATTTTAAGAAAATGCCACTCAAAAATTTAAAATGAAAATATTCTTTAACTTCAGCACTTTTTGTTAAAGACACAGAAATGATTTAATATATTGTACTAATTCCTGGTTATTTAATCAGAAATTCCTGTCATACCATTACGGAATATACAAAATATTCTAATTTCACTTAAAATCAAAAGAAAAATAGGGCTATATCTATATTATATCTTATTTTTCGAACACACTTGGAAGTAGTTGTTCTAAATATGGATTTAGACAATAATTAAATTTCATAATCTTTTTATGAATTGTAACTGAAATCTCAGATTATCAGAATAAAAAAAAAATCAGTATCACTCTAAAATAAAGTTTTCGAAAATACTAAGAAAAGCTTTTGATTACTATCATGGTAAAAAAGTCATATAATAATTTCTATCTTATTCTGCATTTCAAATATACAGTCAAACATCATTTTCTTGAACTTGATATGAAAAACTTTGAAATACCTGAGGATTTGAGATATTGATGTTAAAATACATAACAAGCATTCTGAAAGTATTGCATTAGCAATACTAGTCCCCTACCGGCAAGTGTAATCTGGTTCCCGTTAAGAATTGAAAATGCCATAATTCCATAAAAAATCAATGAAGCGGGGCGAAATGCAAACTTGATCTAGAACTAATCAAGGTAAAGTCACATACCAAAAATCAGCTCAATATCTGAAAGCGTTTAGAAGAAAATTGTGGAAAACCCCTAAAAATTGAAAAGGCCGTAATTCCGTCAAAAATCATTGAAGCGGAACGAAATGCAAACTTGATCTGTAACTCATCAAGATACACTCACATACCAAAAATCAGCTCAATATCTGCAAGCGTTTAGGAAAAAAGTGCGGAAAACCAAGTGGGACAGACTGACACACAGACAGAGGGACAGACAGACAGACAGACAGACGGACAGACAGACGGACAGACAGACTCAGAGGAAACCTATAGTCCCCTCCGGTTTCACTGGTAGGGGACTAATAAGAGATCAGAAGTCTCTGATGAGACTGTAGCTCTACTGGTCTGTACATACAACAAAGGAAAAATAGCACTTGGATTTGAAACTTTGCAACATGCAACAATAAATAGAATTATGTATCTTAATGTAGTCTACTTCTGTGCCAAGTTATATTGAAATCAGACCAAAACTGTAGGAGGAGTAACGTTTTGAAAGTATTTCACAGAAATTTCTATTTTTAGTAACCATGACAATACCATTCACTGAAATCAAAAACTGAAATACATAATATGTATCGTAGTGTATTCTAATTGTGTGCCAAATTAGAATGAAATCAGACCAAAACTGTAAGAGGAGTAGCGTTTTAAAGGAATTTCACAGAAATTTCTATTTTTAGTAACCATGGCAACACCGTTCATGGAAATCAAAAACCAATGCATTAAATTATGTATCTTAGTGTAGTCTACTTGTATGCCAAGTTATATTAAAATCAGACCAAAACTGTAGGAGGAGTAGTGTTTTTAAGGAATTTCACAGAAATTTCTATTTTTAGTAATCATGGCAACACCATCCATCAAAAGCAAAAACCGATGCACCAAATTATGTATCTTAGTGTAGTCTACTTGTATGCCAAGTTATACTAAAATCAGACCAATACTGTAGGAGGAGTAGCATTTTAAAGGAATTTCATGGACATTTCTATTTTTAGTAACCATGGCAACACCGTTCATTGAAATCAAAAACTGATGCAATAATTTATGTATCTCAGCGTAGTCTACTTGTGTGCCAAGTTATATTGAAATCAGACCAAAACTGTAGGAGGAGTAGCGTTTTAAAGGAATTTCAAGGAAAATTCTATTTTCAGTAACCGTGGCAACACCGTTCATCAAAATCAAAAACCGATGCACTAAATCATTTATCTTAGTGTAGTCTACTTGTGTGCCAAATTATATTAAAATCAGACCAAAACTGTAGGAGGAATAGCATTTATCAGGAATTTCACAGAAATTTCTATTTTTAGTAACCATGGCAACACCGTTCATCAAAATCAAAAACATATGCACTAAATTATGAATCGTAGTGTCCTCTACTTGTGTGCCAAGTTATATTAAAATCAGACCAAAACTGTAGGAGGAGTAGCGTTTTAAAGGAATTTCACAGAAATTTCTATTTTTAGTAACCATGGCAACATCGTTCATCGAAAACCAATGCACTAAATCATGTATCTTAGTGTAGTCTACTTGTGTGCCAAGTTATATTGAAATCAGACCAAAACTGTAGGAGGAGTAGCCTTTTTAAAGGAATTTCACAGAAATTTCTATTTTTAGTAACCATGGCAACATCTTTCATCAAAATAAAAAACCGATGCAATAAATTACGTATCTTAGTGTAGTCTACTTGTGTGCCAAGTTATATTGAAATCAGACTAAAACTGTAGGAGGAGTAGTGTTTTGAAAAATTGTTTACAGACAGACGGACAGAAAGACAGACGGACAGACACCTTACTATCGTATAAGCTCTTCTGGTTTCTGACCAGTAGAGCTAACAAGGATTCCCAACTTAATCTGACATATCCATGATATTCAAGATACCAACGTTTAAGATATTAAAGTTTAAATTTACTGAATATTACATCAAAACAGTATCTTTATTCTTCCTTCATAGGACTGTGGAGATTAAACTTGATGATTACAAAAGTCTGAGATTTATCATATTAGAAACGTGTCAGTTATTCTTTATTCTGTATCAATGCAATTCAAGAAAAGAGTTGTCCTTCAATAACACCAGGGAACATAGGTTTTGTGATGCTAAATTTACAAGTAGGTATGATACATTATTTATCTCTTTAATTCTCACTCTGGGGTTCACGTTTTACTTTCCCTCAATTTTCACAATGGATTTTACAGAATTGAATACTAGAACTATGATATCAATATAACAGAATGTCTTTTTTAAAACTAAAGCTGAGAAAAAAGTTTACTCAAACATTTACTACCATATTACATGTAATTAAAATACAGACCAACAACAGATAAATTACTTTCTCACTAAAGCTCATTCTATTGCACATTTAATAACAATATTTTGACATAATTCCAGAGATCCTGAGGTGAATACTAAATGGCTATCCCCCTCCTCTTTGGTGTCCTTTCTCCTCCTCCTCTTTGTTGTTTTATTTAATATGGTACCTTTATCCTCTCATCAAAGATCATCTTTGATATTTTCGTCCACTTGTGACATGTACCCTGTAGGAACCTCTGCCCACTCCTGTCTGTGGCCCGAGGCCAGCAGTCCATATATAACACCCCCTGCCAGGTAGATTCCTGCTGCCAGGTAAAATACAATTTGCCACTCACTCTTGTCATGCTGAAATAAAAGGGGATATTTAGTGTTTCATTAAAGGCAGGGGCTATTTCTTGCTTTTCATTGGTATTTGTTCAGTTTTTGAATTCATACAGAGCAATTCTACTTCATAATGTATTTCTAAAGAAAGTGGACTTATGTTATTTGTACCATATAATAAGATAATTGCTATGCTTTTATCCAACCAAGATTTTGTGGCTCTTTATTTAGTAATGCATGTGTGCCAAGCAAATTCAAATGTATGCAGTCCATGGGAATCCCATCAACTTCAATGTTTACATGTACAATATATGTCCAGTGTTTAAACTGTTGCAGAAATTTTAAGACTTGGAAAACTTTAATTACCTGATCACTGACTATCACACCAGTTAGCCCTGGGCTGACTATTCCAGGAATAGTGGCAAATGTGTTGGATATTCCCATTAAAATACTGGCATACTGCAATCATAAATTACTAGCAATCAGTACATTCATTTTCATCCAACATCACTTATGTATCAGAATCTATTTAAAAACTAAATACTGTAGTAAAGGCATCTAGGCCAAAATACTCAATTAACCATCATAATTCATAAATTCCACTTGCAATGCAAGGCCAAACAATATTTTCATTTTTAGAGGATATCTATATTGTGATTTCATATTTGCTCAAATTTTCGTCTGGCTAGCACGCTTCCCAAGGGAACCATTTCAATTAATTAGATGAAGCAACATTAAAATCATAAATTAAAACAACTGTACAAATGCATTCTTTAATATCTCATAGGTTTTTCTTAAACAGACCCCTGGAAACAACTGATTGAATAACTGTCTAAATCATTAACACTATGCCATTAAGTGTGATTATCATTTAATTCCATAATTAAGACAGACCAGAACAGAAAATTTTTAGAATACACATTTTAAGTATGGTCATTATTGATAAAAGTTGAAATGTTCTCCTTAAACTTTTGTTTAATTAATGATAACATTGTATAAAGAATAAGAAAATGAGCTTAAAATCCCTACTGTTTGTAAGAGGATCAAATTGCATCAAACAAATGTTTGAAACCTTAATTCAGAAAAAAAGGCTGAAGAGCTATTAGGCTCAAATGAAGCTTCAGATCAGGGTTCAGAAAGAAGGTAAGTATTATAGGAAAATTTCATCTATAGAAGATCAGTTTAAATCATTGTGTTGTTATTATTGTGTTCAGTTTCTTTCTTTTAAGACCAAACAATAAAATATATCAAGTAATGTAAGAAGAATAAATTTATTTATTTAAACCCACAAATATATTTAGGATGATGTAGACATCTCTACTGTATAGCAATGATTAGACAGACACTTAGCAATGATTAGACAGTTACTTGTGAAGAATTGTTTTATACCAAAGTAGACTTTTCTTGTGCAAAGCGTTCTGCCAGGGTTGTTGTCTTGGTAAACAAGTAAGAGTTATCAGACTTTGACATCACGATTCAGATAAAATCAGAAAAGTTCTGAGATGAAAAACAAAGGAAATAAAATGCTGCCGTTAAAAAGTTTGAGGACTATTACACCATGGGCAAATAGCACAAAAACTATTTTACAACAGAGGGTGTTCAGAAAAAGATAGAAAGTTTATTTGACATATTCTTATAAAGAAAATAAATACACAGAGATATAATAAATTTATTTATTTAAACCCACAAATATATTTAGGATGATGTAGACATCTCTACTGTATAGTAATGATTAGACAGACACTTAGCAATGATTAGACAGTTACTTGTGAAGAATTGTTTTGAAAGATTTCACTTGTATTTACCTGTGGAGCAATATCTAGATGGTTGACACTGAATCCTCCCCAAGCAAAACCTCCTAGTCCCACTGCAATGGTCACACAAACAACTGCGGCTACTGGGGTCATCAGATAACCTGCTGCTACCATAAACACCAATTGACTCAGAAAGGCTAAAATGACACACATATTGGATGTCTACAGTCAAACTCTGCTACAATGCAGCAATTTTTCAATTTTGAAAAACATGACAATATACAACCATAGCAAATATCTGGGAATATATTGGATTTTTTTAAAGTAAATTATGTATCTAGTGTATGTAAGGACATACAAATAACAAAACAGAACAAGATAAATATCTTTATGAAACACTTGTGTCCCTAAATGGCAGCTCAAGGCCAAGGTTAAAGTTATTCAAAGGTAGGTCAAACTCCAAGGTAAGGTCATGGGTCAAAAATAATGGTACCCAAAAAGGTCTTAATTGTCACAAGGAATATACATGTGAAATACAAAAGCCCTAGCACAAACAGTTCTAAAGTTAAGGTTTAAGTCTGTCAAAAGTGGTCAAACTCCAAGGTTTGAGGTCAAAATGTTGATACCCAAAGAAAGGCCTTGTCACAAGGAATACGCATGGAAAATGTGAAAGTCTAAGCACCATTCATTCAAAAGATATGCCCAAGGTTAAAGTTAAATTAAAATTCTTTAAAAGTAAGTCAAACTCCAAGATCAAGGACATGAGATCATTGTGAAAGTTTTTGGGGAAAACAGCCAAACTTACAGACTGAAAACTACATGTGCCGAAATTTCCAATCACGGGGCATAAAAACTTCAACAATAGGGAGCCAAAGGATTCTCATTTAAGCAAGAAACTACATTGGACAATATGAATCTCTGAATGAATATCTTTAAGTGAATTTATTTCAGATAAGAATAAAATGTTGAAGTCTGCTTAATAAAACTTAAAAAGAGTTTCCTGGTCCCATTTTATTTCCAAAAGGCTCTTGGGCTCTGATGGTCACCTGAATATTATAGGTAATTTTCAAAAGTTAGCTGCATTTCATTTCTGGAATTTTTTGAAATTTTCAATTTTTCATTTCCGACATTTTCAAGTTTTCATCTCTGCCATTTTTCAAGTAGTACTTTTCAACAATGAAAGCAAGATTGAAGACTTCACTTATAAAAATTTTAAAGAATAAATCCTGAATAAATCATTGAAATCCAAATAATGAGTTTTGCTCAGCTATCAATGAAGCGAAAATGATTAAGATTTTTTTTTACTTTCCCGAGGCACTTGTAAGTGTGTGAACTTTTGCTCCTTTTCAAATGTTCAGTTTAAGTTTGAAATCAGATATGTTAAGATGGACATTATAAGGCATACTTTGAAAATGTGGTTTGAATTAAATTCTTTGAAAATTCCATTTCTACCTACTCTGAAAACATTCAATTGCTGAAGAGGTATCCTGCAAAAATTCCGAAAATGAAAAAAAAAATGTCGGAAATGAAAATAAACAAGAGGCCCATGGGCCACATCGTTCACCTGAGTAACTTTGGCCATGCTGTTCATTACCAGACTTCCCCATTTGTAATACCTATTGTGGCCCCACCCTACCCCCGGGGGCCATGATTTGAACAATTTAGAATCTACATTACCCCAGGATGCTTCCAAATAAGTTTCAGCTTTTCTGGCTCAGTGGTTCTTCAGAAGAAGATTTTTAAAGATTTTTCCTATATATTTCAATGTAAAACTTGGATTCCCTATTGTGGCCTTGCCCTACCCCCGGGGGTCATGATATGAACAATTCAGAATCTACACTACCCCAGGATGCTTCCACATGAGTTTCAGCTTTTCTGGCTCAGTGGTTCTTCAGAAGAAGATTTTTAAAGATTTTTCCTATATATTTCAATGTAAAACTTGTATTCCCTATTGTGGCCCCGCCCTACCCTCGGGGGTCATGATTTGAACAATTCAGAATCTACACTACCCCAGGATGCTTCCACATAAGTTTAGCTTTTCTGGCTCACTGGTTCTTGAGAAGAAGATTTTTAAAGATTTTTCCTATATATTTCAATGTAAAACTTGTATTCCCTATTGTGGCCCCGCCCTACCCCCGGTGGTCATGATATGAACAATTCAGAATCTACAATACCCCAGGAATCTTCCACATGAGTTTCAGCTTTTCTGGCTCAGTGGTTCTTCAGAAGAAGATTTTTAAAGATTTTTCCTATATATTTCAATGTAAAACTTGTATTCCCTATTGTGGCCCCGCCCTACCCCCGGGGGCCATGATTTGAACAATTCAGAATCTTCACTACCCCAGGATGCTTCCACATAAGTTTCAGCTTTTCTGGCCCAGTAGTTCTTGAGAAGAAGATTTTTAAAGATTTTTCCTATATATTTCGATGTAAAACTTGTATTTTATATTGTGGCCCAGCCCTACCCCCGGGGGTCATGATTTGAACAATTTAGAATCTACACTACCCCCAGTATGATTCTACATAATCTTCAGCTTTTCTGGCTCAGTGGTTCTTCAGAAGAAGATTTTTAAAGATTTTTCCTATATATTTCAATGTAAAACTGGGATTCCCTATTGTGGCCCCGCCCTATCCCCGGGGGTCATGATTTGAACAATTCAGAATCTACACTACCCCAGGATGCTTCCACATAAGTTTAGCTTTTCTGGCTCACTGGTTCTTCAGAAGAAGATTTTTAAAGATTTTTCCTATATATTTCAATGTAAAACTTGTATTCCCTATTGTGGCCTCGCCCTACCCCCGGTGGTCATGATATGAACAATTCAGAATCTACAATACACCAGGAATCTTCCACATGAGTTTCAGCTTTTCAGGCTCAGTGGTTCTTAAGAAGAAGATTTTTAAAGATTTTTCCTATATATTTCAATGTAAAACTTGTATTCCCTATTGTGGTCCCGCCCTACCCCCGGGGGCCATGATTTGAACAATTCAGAATCTTCACTACCCCAGGATGCTTCCACATAAGTTTCAGCTTTTCTGGCCCAGTAGTTCTTGAGAAGAAGATTTTTAAAGATTTTTCCTATATATTTCGATGTAAAACTTGTATTTTATATTGTGGCCCAGCCCTACCCCCGGGGGTCATGATTTGAACAATTTAGAATCTACACTACCCCCAGTATGATTCTACATAAGTTTCAGCTTTTCTGGCTCAGTGGTTCTTCAGAAGAAGATTTTTAAACATTTTTCCTATATATTTCAATGTAAAACTGGGATTCCCTATTGTGGCCCCGCCCTATCCCCGGGGGTCATGATTTGAACAATTTAAAATCTACACTATCCCAGGATGCTTCCACATAAGTTTCAGCTTTTCTGGCTCAGTGGTTCTTAAGAAGAAGATTTTTAAAGATTTTTCCTATATATTTCAATGTAAAACTTGTATTCCCTATTGTGGCCTCGCCCTATCCCCGGGGGTCATGATATGAACAATTCAGAATCTACAATACCCCAGGAATCTTCCACATGAGTTTCAGCTTTTCTGGCTCAGTGGTTCTTGAGAAGAAGATTTTTAAAGATTTTTCCTATATATTTCAATGTAAAACTTGTATTCCCTATTGTGGCCCCGCCCTACCCCCGGGGGTCATGATATGAACAATTCAGAATCTACACTGCCCCAGGATGCTTCCACATAAGTTTCAGCTTTTCTGGCCCAGTAGTTCTTGAGAAGAAGATTTTTAAAGATTTTTCCTATATATTTCAATGTAAAACTTGGATTCCCTATTGTGGCCCAGCCCTACCCCCGGGGGTCATGATTTTAACAATTTAGAATCTACACTACCCCCAGGATGCTTCCACATAAGTTTCAGCTTTTTTGGCTCAGTGGTTCTTCAGAAGAAGATTTTAAAAGATTTTTCCTATATATTTCAATATAAAACTTGTATTTCCTATTGTGGCCCCGCCCTACCCCCGGGGTCATGATTTGAACAATTTAGAATCTACACTATCCCAGAATGCTTCCACATAAGTTTCAACTTTTCTGGCTCAGTGGTTCTTGAGAAGAAGATTTTTAAAGATTTTTCCTATATATTTCAATGTAAAACTTGGATTCCCTATTGTGGCCCCGCCCTACCCCCGGGGGTCATGATTTTGACAATTTAGAATCTACACTATCCCAGGATGCTTCCACATAAGTTTCAGCTTTTCTGGCTCAGTGGTTCTTGAGAAGAAGATTTTTAAAGATTTTTCCTATATATTTCAATGTAAAACTTGTATTCCCTATTGTGGCCCCGCCCTACCCCCAGGGGTCATGATATGAACAATTCAGAATCTACACTACCCCAGGATGCTTCCACATAAGTTTCAGCTTTTCTGGCCCAGTAGTTCTTGAGAAGAAGATTTTTAAAGATTTTTCCTATATATTTCAATGTAAAACTTGGATTCCCTATTGTGGCCCAGCCCTACCCCCGGGGGTCATGATTTTAACAATTTAGAATCTACACTACCCCCAGGATGCTTCCACATAAGTTTCAGCTTTTTTGGCTCAGTGGTTCTTCAGAAGAAGATTTTAAAAGATTTTTCCTATATATTTCAATATAAAACTTGTATTTCCTATTGTGGCCCCGCCCTACCCCCGGGGTCATGATTTGAACAATTTAGAATCTACACTATCCCAGAATGCTTCCACATAAGTTTCAACTTTTCTGGCTCAGTGGTTCTTGAGAAGAAGATTTTTAAAGATTTTTCCTATATATTTCAATGTAAAACTTGGATTCCCTATTGTGGCCCCGCCCTACCCCCGGGGGTCATGATTTTGACAATTTAGAATCTACACTATCCCAGGATGCTTCCACGTAAGTTTCAGCTTTTCTGGCCCAGTGGTTCTTAAGAAGAAGATTTTTTAATGACCCCCCCTATTTTTGTCTTTTCTTGATTATCTCCCCTTGTAAGGGGACTTGGCCCTTTATTTTAACAATTTAAACTCCCCCTTCACCCAAGGATACTTTGTACCAAGTTTGGTTAAAATTGGCCCAGTGGTTCTTGAGAAGAAGTTGAAAATGTGAAAAGTTTACAGATGGACAGACGGACAGCTAGACAGACGGACGGACGGACGACAGACAACTGGTGATCAGAAAAGCTCACTTGAGCTTTCAGCTCAGGTGAGCTAAAAATGAAATTAAAAAAATGCCGGAAATGCTATGCAAAATCCCGGAAATGAATGCAGAGCAAAAGGTATCAATAACCTTCACACATGTACAATCTTTCAAATTACTCTCAATGAAAATTAGAAGTTTCATCTCTTTAATTTATTATTCTATATATATTTCTGATATTAAACAGCAGGTATGGAGGGAATTAACTAATTATATGGTTCAATTAATTATTAAGTGAATTAAAAGATTTGAGTTTAAACCCTGAATAAGGCAAAATTAATGCAAGACTCTTACTCTCAAAAAAAAACCCTCCAAAAACTCTCAGCTGTTTATCAAACAAGTATCTTCTTACCTCCACATGTGAACATTTTCCTGACAGCAACAACTGATAGCTGGCAGTGTGCCAATAGGGAGTCGGCTAGGAAACCACAGGTCATCACCACCAGACCCATCACAGCATAGGGAAGGGCTGCTAGATATCCAGCCTAAATATACATAACCTATATATATCAAAATTTCATAATTAATGATCTTGGTCAGGGCCATGACATATCCTTATAATGATCATAATGAACATTTGACCAAGTGAGTTCTTTATAAAGATATTCCATTATAAAATTATGACATGAACAAAAATTCTCCTCCTCAAATCCTTTGACATTGACCTTTTCTATATGACCATGACACAGGGTTATTACATTTATAACATCTTCATTTTTTTTCTAGTTAGTGCGCATTCCAAGATCAATATCCAAGCAAGTTTGGTTTAATTAAGACTAATAGTTACTTGGGAATGGACCAGCTCAAAAATCTTTAACATGTACACTCCTCTGGAAAATGTAGGTCAAATCCAGCATCCAATGCAAATCAGGTAGTGTCCATCCCTAGATGTATCATCCATGCTAGTTTGGTTCAGGTAAGGCTTATATTCGTTCAACTGGAAAATGTAGCTTAGATTCATCTTCATAAGCAGAACAGAAAATGTACATCCCTAAAAGCATCAACAATGCAAGTTTGGTTTCTGTTTGTTTGTTGTTTAACGTCCCTCTTGAGAATTTTTCATTCAAATGGAGACGTCACCACTTGCCAGTGGAGGGCTGCAAGTTTGGTTCAGGTAGGGCTAATATTCACTCATTTGCAAAATGTACAGCAGGGTTCGAAATTCACTCGCAAAATGTGAGTTAGAATATCCAAATTGCGAGTTAAAAATTTTGTTACTCGCAAAAAAATGCAAGTTGATTTTTTTTCAATGTAAATTTTACCTGGGAAAAAATATCCATTTCAATCCAGTTTTAATCTTTCTCTCTTTAGTTACTGTTTATTTCGTCATTTTTAAATGAACGACCATGTGCCATGTCCGATGATCATGTCGAAAATTACAAAATTTTTTAGAAGATGGATAGATGGCCACATTGGCATTTTTTAAAAAAAGCATTCATTTTAAAATTGAGAGTTGTCTTTTGAAATTGTGAGTTTATTTTTTTGGTACTCACAATTATTTGCGAGTTGTAATTTTAGGGAGTTTCTACCCCTGGTACATGTAGGTAAGATCTAGCATCAGAGGCAAGTCTGATAAAGTACATCACTAGATGCATCATCCCTTCAAGTTTGGTAGGCCTGTAGTTACATGAGAATGAACCTGCTCTAAAACAGCATACCTATTTACTTTTCCAGAAAATGTAGATCAGATCAAGCATCTGAAGCAAGTCTGGTATTGTCCATCTCTAGATGCATCATCCATGCAAGTTGGTTCAGGTAAAGAGTAATATTCACTCATCTGGGAAATGTAGGTTAGATCCAGCATCCAAAGCAAGTCTGTTATTAGCATCCCTAGATGCACCATGCAAGTTGGTCTAGTTAGGGCTTAAAGTTACTTAGGAATGGACCTATATTTCACCTGGTCACTCATCTGAAAAATGTAGGTCAGATCCAGCATCCAAAGCAAGTTGGGTAGTTTCAATCCATTGTTACATCATCCATGCAAGTTTGGTCAAGGTAGGGTTTACAGTTACTTTTGAATGGACTTTCAAACTTGAACCCGGATGCCAATACCAACACTGGGGGTATAGCATAAACTCATCTTGACTTTGTCAAGGTGAGCTAAAAAGTGGTTTTTAACTGCCAACACACCTTTACATATCCCTGGTATTTGAGATATCTTTGTTCAAGATAATGAAGTTTTACTGTATATTTGATTCCCTAATTAGACTCCACCCTACCTTGGGGAATGATCTGAAGAAACCTGAATCTATATCATACAATAATACAAATTTCTGAATCATCTTATTTGGCCCAGTGGTTCATAGGAAAAATATTTTGAAAAGATGCCAATAAATTCTGACTAATTCTTAATTATCTCCTGTTAAAAGAGACCATGGTTCTTCATTTGATTACACTTGAATCCCCTTTACCTAATGATGCCTTGTGGTAAGTTTTGTTGAAAATGGCCTAAGGCTCTGGTGAGCTAAAAACAAATACAATTGAAAGTTAACATATTTGTAAACTTACATTTTGTATGTCGAAATTGAGTGCATACTTCATGAAGCTGGGAAGTTCTGTGAGCCAGGTGTAAAATCCCCAGTTCTCAGCAAAATGAGCGGCAACAATAGCCCACACTGCTGGGGATCTAAAGATGTCCAACCAGGGTGGAAGTAGGTTCTAAACAGAATAAAAATCACAGTTACAATAGTCAATACTGCTGAAGACAAATTAAATTAACATGAAATACTGGTAAATAATTAAGCCATAAAGTATTTTGAAAATGGAATACATTGTGCTGCTTTGGTGGTTTTATTATGTTTTAACTTGGCAATCAAAGAATTCTCAAAAAAAACTAAGCCATCAAGATTTTTGTAGATACATGTCAATCTAACATCCATATATTGAATATATCAGATATGTCCCATGTATTTTGAAACCCTGTTTTCCTATTCCCTGATATCAAAATAGTAACTGGCTAGTAAGTAATGATTGTCACTGAAATAGTTAGATAACCTGAGATTTATCAAAATATAGTTATTTACTGGATGCATTTGTTTTAAATCATTTCCATAAACTTTCTTTGTTAAATAAATATAAATTGCAATTATTTTATAGATACTACTGGTAATGAGAAACTGAATGCATACAAACTTAAATAAGACCATATGAAATGTACAAACATAAAAAGGTGAAATTTTAAACACATGGAATTTAATCATTATGCTTACAGCAAAACTCTTTCTTTGAACAGCAATTAATAGAGCAAATTTATGAATATAGCAAAGTATTTTAGGTATTTACATCACCAGATCTTAACATTTTATACATAATGGAGTCAATTCCTATTTATTTAGTACTGAATACACATTGTTGATTGCCCCTTCTATGGTATATTTTAGGAAATAATTTTACATTCAATGACTATCAGCTCCATACTCTATATATAAGAGATCTCCATACATTTATTCAAATGTTTCTGAAAAGGGGGTTGTTATGGACGCCTATGTAACACATCCGAGGTTATTTTTCCACTTGTTTTTTGATTTCGACACCATTTTTTGTATAAAACAGTTTCTAATATACAAACCAAACCTGAACAGAAATCTGGTAAAAAGGGACCAAAATTTTTTACTGCATGACCTTGAAGTTATACCTAGTTCTAAAATTTTTAAACTTTGCATGTTGGCTTTAAAACTTTTGCACCAGAAGAAACAGGAGTTTCATATTTTTTCAAGTGTATTACCTGTGAACATGATTTTCCTGAGTGTACTATGATTTTTAACCTTAATCATGAAGTTTGACCTGGATTTTAAAATTTTTAACTTAAGCTGTAATTTTCGCACTAGAAGAGAAAGACGTTTCACATATTTTCATATGTTCATTACCTTGCAGTGACAAGATGATGATTTTTGACCCCATGTCCTATAAGTACACCTCCAAATTTGACTTTCAAAAACTTGAACATTAGCCATAACTTTTGCACCAAAACATATACTGTACTGGGGGGGGGGGGGGGGGGTACTTAACCGAAAGCAGGGAACCACATTCTTGTTTCATTCACCTCTGTTTGTTCCTCAGTGTAGCCTATACTGGACTGGTATATATTACATGCTGTATTATATTTACCTCTGTTTGTTCCTCAGTGTATAAGCCTATACTGAAGTAGTTTATTTTACATGCTATATTTACCTGTGTTTGTTCCTCAGTGTAGCCTATACTGGACTGTATGTAGTCCAGTTCTGCGTCTGTAATGGTGGAATGTTTGGCTGGACTCTCAGCAATCAAAAAGCACCAGCATACAAACCACAGTATACCAAGGCTACCTACAATTTACACCAGAAAAAAGTCTGTGGGATCAAAATCTGGGATTTTTAATGATGTGGAAAATAACATCCAATGTGATAGATAAAAACAGAAAATGACAGTTATATTCTAATAAAGTGTGTCCAGTATACATGTACCTGTCTATGCATATACAGGTATGTAATAATACTTTTTTTTATTCATAATCCTAACAGTAATGATCAAGTCTACAGACTAAATAATTGACAGAATCAACAACATGAACACACATTTATGTACAAGGCCCCATAATATGCATTTATCAATATGTTTTCAACCTTGGCATTGAGTACTTGTAGGGTGGCCTCAGAATCTACTGGCTGGGTCTTTGTATAGTGAAAATGATATCTGTGTTTTGTGCTGTGTGAAAATGTAATGAAAATATGTTGATTTTGACCTCTGATTGTCTCAAAATCTTTCCACATTTCTTCTCTTACCAATGTTTCCCCATGTATGAGCCCATGGGCCACATTGCTCACCTATGCTTTTGGCTATGAAAAAGCATAATTCAGTTTGGTATTGAAAAGTTTAAATATATAAGTGGTTCCAACCTTCCCCTAATTGGGGGGGGGGGGGGGGAGGGAGGGAGGAGGGGGAAGCACATGATTTAAACAAACTTGAATCTTCACTAACTGAGGATTCTACCATAATTCTTAAATTAATAATGGTCTTAAAAGATTTTTAAAGATTTTTTTCCCTTTAAGTTTGATTTCTGTTGTGGCCCACCACTTCCCTGGGTTTCGTGATTTCAACAAACTTGAATCTACACTGCCTGACAATGCTTCCTTACAAATATGACCAATCATGGCTTTGCTGTTCTTGAGAAGAAGTTTTTCTAAGATTTAAAAAGATTTTTCCTATGTATTTTTTATATCTAGTACACTACCTGAAGACACTTCTATAAATATGACTAAATATTGGTTTGCTGTTCTTGAGGAGGAGATTCTTAAAGATGTTTCCAATGTATTTCTATCTAAAACTTTGATTGTCGAATGTGGCTCTGCCCTGCCCCCAGGCCTGGGTCATGATTTGAACAATCTTAAATCTACAACACTGCCTGACAATGCTTCCATACAAACAAGAGCAATCATGGATTTGCTGTTCTTGAGGATAAGATTTTCTAAGATGTTTCCTATGTATTTCTATGCTAAACTTTGATTGTCCATTGTGGCCCTGCCCTACCCCAGGAGGTCATGATTTGAACAAACTTGAATCTAAACAGCCTGACAATTCTTCCGTACAAATATGAGCAATCATGGATTTGCTGTTCTTGAGGAGAAGATTTTTAAGGATGTTTCCTATGTATTCCAAACTATGTCAAACTTTGATCGTCCACTCTGGCCCCGCCCTAACCCCCCGGGGTCATGATTTGAACAAACTTGAATCTACACTGCCTGAGGATGTTTCCACACAAATATGAGCAATCATGGATTTGCTGTTCTTCAGGAGAAGATTTTCAAAGATGTTTCCTATGTTAAACTTTGATCATCCATTGTGGCCCTGCCCTACCCCTGGGGGTCATGAATTTAATCCCCAAGGAATATTTCTGCTTTTACAGTATTTGTAATGAAAACAGTCACAAATGTAAATAATTATATAATTAATTAGGTATCATTTTAAAACTTTTATTGGGATGTAAATATGGGTTGGCACATGATTAAATCTACAATAAAGACCTTTGGGCTTCATGGGATTTGATCACATGACCTACCCATATTTACATACCGAAAAAAGTTTTAAAATGATACCTTATTTTTTAAATAAACACGTTATACAGAGAAGATCATGTAAACCTACCAAACAGATAGAAGATAGACTGCCACTTGTATCCAGCAGAAAACAGACCCCCAGATATCAGCATAGCAAAGACAGTACCAATATAGGAACCTATAAAAGAAGCAGTAGTGATTGTACATACATGGATCATTCATTTAAGCAAAGTAAGACATAATAAGCTATAAAGGACAAAGTATGGTAACAGCCTTATTTAATATGAAAAAAACAATGCTTGTTTTTAAACCTGGCCAGCATTGATTTTAATTCAAAAATATATGTACATGGAGGCCACAAATAAAATCATTTTATTTCAATTTCCTCAGTTCTGATGGAATTTTGTCAAATTTGAGATACTTTTCATTTCAGAAACACAGGGTGCAAGCTTGCCTATCAAGATTCTCATACAAAAGATACATTTCATACTAGTGCATAAAATACTATTAAGAAAACATACCTTTTTCCCAAGGGGTCATTGTTCCGGGAATATTATAAATTCTGTTCAATCCAGGAGTAGAAAATTACACCAATTTCTTGGATTGACATTATATGTCCTTATTGTATTTTAAGTCTGATGTGGCAAATTTCTGTAGATAAATTGTTATCATGTACATAGCATAAATTAATCTCAAGTGGAAAAAGTATGTCTACAGTATGTAATTATTGCTAGATATAAGCAAGCTTTCACCCTGTGTAAATTGAAAAAAAAATTGTCTTAAATTTGAAAATTGACAAATTTTGTGACGTTGTGCAGACCAGACCTTGTACTATGGTCAAACGGCTCACCGTAGTATTTTTTCCGGATTGATACACAGTACAAAATCTCAGTTTTTGGTTCTGTTCACTTTTTGATTGGAATGTTTTTCAGTCAGATTTGGCATTCATAAAAAACACATCACACAGCAATTATGAAATCTTAATAATAAGATTCTTCAAGAAAAATAGTTTATAGAAATTCATTCCAGTAAATTTCTTCTAGTCAACTTGTGCATTAATCAAGTAACAAGATCGACATAAAACAACTTGGAATTTTTTTCCTTTTGTCAAAATGTAGTGAATTGATTTGACCATGAAAATTGTATATTATATATCATATCATGAAGGAGGCAATTCATTTTACCCAGGGCTAGAAATAATTATTTTTGTTTACTGGTCACTCGGGCTATCGCCTTAAATTTTTACTGGTCAGCTTAGTACTTTCACTGTCCCACTGGGCCAGTAGATTTAAAAAAGACTGGCCCAAAACTATAATAATGATAGTATTATTTTTTTTTATATTGTGATACTTAGAAGTACAATTTAACAAAACAAGAAACAGCAGAAGTTGGGACACACAACCCTGTCAAGTTAACTAGCCGCACTGTGAAAGAATTTTATTATGCATAAAAAATGCTGACCCAAAGGGCACATGCCTTCTGCAATGTACTAGCCCGTATTGAAAATTCACTGGCCCCAGACCAGCGGGCCATCAATTATTTCGAGCCCTGTTTACCCCTAGTATCCTATCCCTTAAAGGGGTCTTAACCTATCTTGGCCTTTACTGCAAGTCAATCAGTATGCTAAATTAGAATGGTGATTTAAATTACTGTACTATAAATTTTATGTAACATGACAAACTGAGAAATTGACATTCAAACCTGAAAATGCAAAAGCTACCAATCTGGTCTTCTCCAGGGGAGGTGCCCATTTGGCCCAAATGGCATGGATGGAGGGATAAGTAACTCCCTTAAAAAATAAAATATTACAATTATAGTAGACTCATTCTAAAAACAAACTCAGGAAATTTTACATTGAAATACTGAATTTTTAAATTGTAATACTTATTTTAATTTTTCAAAATCATAATGAATAAAGTAGATCCACTAAAAATGTCTGTACACTTTCTGCATTGGACATATTTAGAGCAAACATTGTCATCTCCTCCTATAAACCATCCTTCCCTATACAGATACTGTTATGCGTTTTTGTGGTTCTTATCACAGATTTGCTTAAATTGAGCTATGCATTTGACAAGTCTGACCTCACAGAATCCCTCTAGAACACGAACAGTGACCAGAAGAGCAATGTTCTGTTGAGCACAGAATGGTGTAAGGATTGTTAATACTGCAGTTATAAATATCCCTCCACCAAACAAAAACTTCCCTCCAAATCGATTGGCAAGAAAACCTGAGAAAATATGCAAACATAGAAATAATTTCTTAACTAATTTTTTCATACTTTGATTTCCTATTTTTTGGTTAGTCTGTCTACTTGCAATAAAATTATATTCTGCATGTTTCAAAAATATTTCTGGTAGCTTACTTTACTACTTTAAACCATGTTCAATCTAGAGAACAAAGCTACTATCCTGCAGCTATGAATTTTATTTGTTATACCTCCTGGTAGTTGAGTGAAGATATAACCATAAAAGAAAGCTCCAAGAATGAGTCCCTGCTGTTTACTGCTCCAGTCAAAGCCTGGCTCAATCAGCTGAAACATTCACTCAAGTTTTACTCATTACGTCAACAAAAATCTGTCAAAGTTGAGCAACTCTAATTAAAAATATATCTCAACAAAGAAAGCAAAAATGATTTTGTTTTCTCTGCAAACCAAATGATCCTTTGTTAATGATTATTGGTTTCTTATTTTCTATTAAATTAATTAATATACTTGATTTTCATCATGCTTTATTTCAGAGTTATTTTCTTTAAGGATTTTTACTTACTGTGGTAGACTCATTAGTAATGTTGTATTTTGCCACCATACCAACAATAGCTATACTCAAGTTTGCTCTTAATGCATAAATATTACCTTTAAAAAAACAAACAAAAATTACTGTTGTTCTTTAAGCAAAATTAAAACAAATAAGCCATCATGATATTATAATTCTTCCATATATGAATAAACCTAATAACTTAATATATTTTTTGAAGTCAAATCAGAGAATCAGAAGACCTCACGACAAGAGGAAGCAATGTTTTAGGACAAATACCAGTTACCATTGCATTCATGTAATCAACTAACCTCTTGTTATAAACAAGAAAAAAATTATTAAGAGCCAAACTTTGGTCTATTTTATTGATATTCTGTGTGTTGTACAATAAGATGTTTGCAACTGGCTACATACATGTATGAATCACTCATAAATAAAATACATTAGATTTGTTAAAACTTGCTTACAGAATCCAAAGAAAGCCATGATGCCCACAATGTATCGTTTTGGGAATCTACCCAACAGTGATAGCTTTCTGTTGCATAGGTCATGATGTTCTTCAGCTGAGTGAAAGGATTCTGCAATTGGCTGTCTCTCTCCAAAACTCTCTGGCATGATTGTAATTTCTGGTCTGGATACTCTCTGTAAAATAATTTTCTACTGCACATATGTTTATCCCAGTATTTGAAGTTAGAAGTGTGATACCTGATTTTTTTTCGGGGAGAGGGGGGTCTTCAAAACATAAATGAAACTAGTTATTTATCAGAAATGAGATTTGTGCTGAAAATTGATATTTCTCTTTAAAAGAGCGAATACTCCAAAAGGTAAACTACCGACACTAACCAAAAAGATAACACAGAGACTTTCAAATTATTTAAAGGCATGAAAAATACGTATCATCAGAGAGTTGTCAAAATCGGCATGCATGACTGCATCATCAATATCAAAAAACTCATGTAAAAAATTAGATTTTCTTGTAGAAAAAATACATACAAACTCAAATAAACACACTGCTTAGATGCAATCTAAATATTATCATTCCCGTGAACTAGATGAACAAAAAACACTTGTTTGGATGCACCATATGCATGATATGGTCGCACATGTAACCCTTCCCTCCATCTTTGTTTACGTTTTTTCATCCAATCGACAATTAGAACAAGGCTTTTAATTGGTTGATTTTTCTGCATAGACTGTAGCTCATTGTCTAACTTTTCGATTAGAAATTAATATTTTGATAATAATATGAATGAAAATGAATATATCATATAATTTCAACCATGAACTTCTAAAAATTATTTTTAAAACGCAAATGATTGATCTTTCTAGAGGATAATTATGTTAAATATTATCATATTTTATGAGAGAAATCAGCCAATCAAAAGTTCCGATATTTCTCATGACATCACTTTGTCGGGCTCAGTAATCTGTGACTTCCACTGAGAAAGGAATAATAAGCGGACAATCCTCGTTTTTGTTTCCAAGATGGGGCAGCTAACGCTTCCATCGGTGCTAGCCTGCGTCTGTGTGTTTGTCCAGATCAGTGTTGGATATATAGAGGTGAATATTATCGAGTTTTAACACAAATATATTGTTGCCATATTTTCTTATTGCATTGAATGTGTCTCGAATTGGAATGTGTCGTCCATGTTGAATATATTTATAGTCTGTCATCACCATGCAATGTCACCAGTCTTTCTTTAATGTTAGTAGATTTTTGTCACCAACGTAACGAAGAATAAAAACAAATTAAAAATGCGCTGCGATGAAGATGATGAATAGTTCTGTCATCTTTGAATCACAGAGGCCAAGTCGTGAAAGAAGGGGTGGGGGGGGGGGGGGGTTATTGATATGAAAGGTACCATTATCATGATTATCAGCTGTTTATGTTTTTAACAAAAATATTTGAATTAGAAAGTTATATACATATCAGGACAGAACATGTTGGGACAGTTGAGTTTGTACAAGAAGTATTAAAAGGAAGATGTAATTTTTAAGCAGGAAACCTAATGTCCAAATCATCATAGTGTAGTGGTTTGGTCAAAAGGGAACTATGGGTATAAACCTGGGTAGCTCATTGCTTAGAGCAGGGATCGAGTATTTACTTCTTTGTCCAGCTATACATTTTCTACTGTTCTGTTACATTTAGTGCAGTTGACTTCCTCTTAGATAGAATGTTCTATCGATTGTTAAAATGATAAATGTCCTACGGACCAGGTTTAACAATAGAATGCGTTCCGTGTACTGTCAGTGTAGCAAAGAAAATACGGGAGATAAATCTAGCTCAGTGCATTTATTATGAAAGTCTTAAGAATTCCGAGTGTCAACATGGTTAGTAAATACTAAATTTGAAACGAGTAAAAAACGTTGGTGAAAAAGTGTTGAATTCTTCCATTATATGGATTAAATTTTTAAATGAAAGTTATTTACGGTCAGGGACTAAGATATTTGGGTTGTGTGTCTTTAAAGGCAAAGACAATTTAGGGAGGGAGGAATATAGTAGATTTGGCAATGTGGGCCTTTAATGTCAGCCTAGGTAGCTCAGTGATTAGAACACTTGACTAGTGATGGTCCTGAGTTTAATTTCATCCTTAAGTTCCTATTACAATAGAAAAAGGGATCATCCAGAAGACTGCTAAAACAAAGAAAGCCATTGGCTTTGGAATTAATGGCTTTTTTTTGGACAGACGTTTTGGGGCAGGTAGATTTCCAATAAATTGTGTCAGATACTAAAGCTAGTTTTGGTCTCTGTGCTTGAATCTTTTCATGAAGAAGAACAGGGTTGTCACGCAGGGGCTGGGGAATTTCCTGTGTATAATGAGGTGATCCCCCAGTTATCCTGGTATTCCCCCTCAACCATCTGTTAGGGGAGGAACCCCAAACCCCCTTCTACTTTTTAAAGGTCCCATGCTATTTCATTTCTTAGGGAAAATCCTGGAAAAGACATAATTAAATCCTCAAATGACCTTCTCAAAGTTCTGAAGAAAAAAAAGGAACTTCAAGAATAATCCGAAAGTTGAGTTTGAAAAAAATAACCCTACCTACTAATCCTGATATATTTTATTGAACAAGTTTGGGAAAATAAAATTACAATATTGGTGGTCCAGGACCAGCAATGTATCATAATTATGTATGACTAATGAAATTAAGATGTGAAATTGCTAAAAATTATTTAATTATCATGGTTTGAAGAAAAAGTATATCACTTGATTTGAATTATGAATTTCGAGTAAGGCCACACCAATAAAAATTTTTGTTCGTCGGACCCACGCGCTTGTATTTAAGCAAAATTATACAAATAATATTTATTTTAATTTCCCGCACCATGGAAATTCTGTGCTATTTCAGTCTATGCTAAAGACATCGGACTGTCGGACCTGACCGATGTGCAGTGCCTTTGGTCCGATGCATCATTTTTTACACTGGACCGGAATGTCCGATGTCTCAGTGTCGGATTTTGAGCTTTACTATTTTGACGCGGAGTCATTTAAATGTTTGTTATAAGTAAAAAATATCGCAGGAATCCAAGTACGTAACTGAATGTAATTAAAACCGCATGGAGTCCATGATCATGATGGACCGTCTAAAGTATTACGCGGGAGCGATCCCTGGTAAAAGAAAAGCTGTTACAGTTAGGCCTACTCGAGAATAAGGACTATGAGTCGAAACGACCTGCAAGAAGATTCAATACTGATTGGAAAAATGGCCGATCATGGCTTATATAGTTAGGAGGTAGGCATGACTTGCACATTTTGTTCCAAATATGGTAAAAAATCAGTCTGACAAAATTTGGTTCGGTCCTGTGTATTCATTGACTACACAGGACCGAATGTCCTGTGTGGTGCAAAAAACTTTCGCATAGACTGCTATTTTCTATTCCATTTCCACTCCATTTTTCATATTTTAAATGTGCTTTCTCTGCAAATCAGAAAAAATATAATTGTCTGCTCAAATTTTTTCATGCTCTGCCTAAAAATTTTGCCTACAAAAAAGTAATAATATTGTTATTATTTAACTGCTTGCCCGCTCGTACTTTTTTTCATCAAATGTCCGACGAACAAGAAATTAAATTAGTGTGGCCTAATGAAATAATTTAGTAGAAAGAATGTCGTAAGAAATATCCAACATTTTTTTATTTTTGAAAAGGGGGAGGGGGATCATCTGAAACAAAGATTAATAACCAAACAAGGTAAAATGCTACAGTCAATGCTCTATTTCCCTTATTTTTGTAAACATTTTTTTTATGAAACACTGTGAGAACCATTACTTATTCTGCTTGTAACTGTAGGACAGAAAAAATGTACATTTATAAGCCAAACAATGAGATTGCCTGGTCAGCCCTCAGTGTAATGGTAGATCATAACAGAGATTTACTGCTTGGAAAGCCCCATAAACAGCTGTTATCACTCCATTATCCTGTAAATGATTGGTTAATGTGAGATAAAGGGTATAGCTAAGTAAGACAGGTTAAAAATACTTAACATGTTGATGAAGAATATGTTCTGTTGCTTGATTTGACACTGTTGACACACCCGTTTTGTTGTAAGTGATAAAAAGCTTATAGATTAGATTAGTAAGATTACTTATAGCTACTTACAAATTCGACTATTTACAGTTTTTCCAGAAATATTTTCTTTCTTACATCTTTCTGCTGACCAATGAAAAAATTCAACCTTTTAAGGTTACTTTATTAATTGTTTTGGGTTTGTGTGGTTTTTATGACTTTGAAAGTTGAAGATCCAAATTACAGTGGCGCCTCGTTAATCCGGACACCTCCGTCCCCAGCGAAATCGTCCGGATAAATGAATCATCCGGATAAGTGAATCACTTCTTAAAAGGCGTACCCTCTTAAATCATATACATATGAGGATAGTGGTATCAAATGTGAAGACAAAGAAAACACCTTTATTTTACCTTGACTTATTGATTTTATTTTTATAGTTTTAAAAGAAATAATAGATATTTAAAAAAAAGAAAAAATTAAAATGTAATTTACACGATGAAAAATGGATAGGCAGTTTTATGTTGAGACTTCCTTTTCTAACACAGGAAACTTTATTCGCCTTCTATTTGACATGCAGTTACATGGGCTGATCAAATTTTGATCTGCTACTGTTTTATTTCGGCACATTTTTTTTATATTTATTGAAGCTCATATTAAGTAGAACTGTTCATTATCACCATTGAGAATGTTCAAATGATTAACCGCGTATATTCACTACATAGGGAAGTAAGTAACTAAATACTGCAATTAGTGTACGTATTGCAAACATTCAACGTAAACACAAGCCATATTCAGGATTATCAATACTTTTTCTAGAAACTCCACGTTATATATCTTGAAAAGACATGATCGGCATTTATAACTAATGCCAGTTACGTATTTCTTAGTGCATTAATAGAAATATATTTTCTTGAATTATGTATCATAATAAATTGTCTTATGAAAAGAAAAAAAAGTTTCAAATAATGTACGATCGTATTTTGATAAACTTACGTAACTCGATACCACGACGAAATCTCGTGATTTATTATTCAGTAAAAATTTTATTTACAACTCTCCAAAATTCTCATAAATTTATATACGTTAGCAATTTAATTAATGCACAGTATAAGCTAAATTCTTCGGGCTTTATAATATAAAAGACGTGTGTTTTAGCTGAGGTAAACACACGCTAATTATAGACGCTATTGTTTAGAGGTCACAGGTAACCGCGTTCAAACTGACTCCACGGACGTTTTTACAATAATTATCACTACTGCAAGAAAGGTGTGAAAAGTCGTTCCTCGAAAAATTACCGTCTGGATAAACGAGTCATTTTTTAATGAAATATTGCGTTTTGTAGTAGAAATTGACCGTCCGGATCTGGAACGTGAATTTCCGGATTAATAAGACAGAATAACGTGGAAAAAATCGGTTCCCAAATAATATCGTCCGGAAGGTGAAGCGTCCGGATTATTGGCGTCCGGATTACCGCGGCGCCACTGTAGTTAATTTTATATAAAAGAATTTCAATCTCTGAAATTCTTAATTAGCCCAAATATCAAAGAATGACGAGAGATAATGCAAAACAGAGACCCTTCTAC